TCATTATTACCCTAATCGTTTCATATAATAAGGAAAATTACCCTAATTGATTAGTATTTCAAACAAACATATTATTCAGTTTCCATATATATTATTATTTTTCCAATAGTCATTTAACTAAACCCATAGTCGAATTAGATACATGGGATAGTCTACTAAAAGATATGAGATAGTCTATTAATTTTAAAACACAAATCCGCCGCCGTCACTTCTCAAATCTAGGGTTTTGATGATTCTTCGGCCCATAGTCGATTAACGAGATCCATAGTAAAATTATATCAGTGGGATAGTCTACTAAATGATATGGGATAGTATATTAATACAGATGTAATTCGACTATGCATCTCGTTAATCAACTATGGGCCGAAGAATTATCAAAACCCTAGATTTTAGTAATCCTATATTCGAGTAACCCTAGATTGGAGCAGTGACGGCGACGGCGGCGGCCAACGACGATAGCGATTCAGCGAGTGGCGACGACGTACCTACGACAGCTTGCTCGGAGTGCACGAAAATCGTCGTTTCACGGCAGTGCAGACGTCTTCCCCTTTCAATCGGCCGCACCGGGAAGTTGTTCTGGGAGGTTTTGCAGTTTATTCGATAGTGGGGTTTGGGATGATAGTGATTTAACGGAAAATAGGAAGGGATTTGATTTTATTTCAAAAGGTAAAGTAACGGGTTTTGTGGGATTTGATAGAGGGTAATTATGTAATTAGGAAAAGTTTGGGTTGTTATCAAAATGGCAAATATAAATTTGGGTCTACCCCTATTATTTGAATGTTTAAGGGGGTTATATCTAATAGACCCCTTTTTTTTCATTTTTTTTATTCCTTAAAAAATTGCATTTGCCCCAAATTCAGAAAATCTATAAACTTGAAGGACTGAATAGAAATTTTCTAAGGAAAGTATTTGATTTAAAACGGACCTGAGATTCATAAATGCTTAATTTTCGGGGTTAAAATGTATTTTCTGAATGTATATCATAGTTTTGAGAGAGACTTAAAAAATACGGGGACTGAAATGAAATTTTCGAAAGCTTGAGGCTGTAATACGGATTTTTCATTATTTCAAATCGACCCCGGTCCAACGAATCAGGAATAACTTTAATTAGGGGACCGACCAAATTAAAATTTCAGAGAATTTCAATTATAACCTCAGGGGGGCAAATTTTAATTTCATAAACCATAAATTTGGGGTTAAATAGCAATTTGGCAAAACATTAGTCAAAAGTCAAAACCTTAATGTCCTTCTTCAACCTACCACGACCTTTCTTAATGTCAGCCGCCACCACCACTACCACCACCACCACCACCACCACCTGTTTTCCAGTAATTGACGGTCCCTAATTGAGCTACAGCCCATTACCGTCATACCGAATTATGGAATTTGTGCTGCGATTTCCGCAGGTAAATGTTATTCCTCGTATGCCATGGCTTTCTCATTCTTCCAAGACAAAGAAGAACCGAATATTCAATACAATGGAAGACGATAACCGTCATACCCAATCCGCTATGGAGCGCGCTTCTCTTCGTTACCGGGAGACTCTTCGTCCTGGTATCTATGCTCATCAACATACTTACTTCCCATTTTCACTTGTTATTTTCATTCAGACATTTCTTCAAACACCCAGAGTGCTTTGCTTCTGTTGTATTTTCTCAGTGGATACTAACTTCTTGTTCTATGAGGACCCATTACGGTGTTGTTTCGTTCCATTCTAGATACTACATTCTTTTCATATTTACTTTTCATGATTTCAATGCTCAATTTTCTTAAGCTTATGAACGAAATGTCTGATTGTAGGATTTTGTTTGCATTAAAATGCAATTTGAAAAAGTGTTTGATAGGTATAATTTGGATTTGGCAGATCCTGTATTGACAGACCCATACATCAGATGCCTTGTACCAACTGATATTCAAATGGATGTGAATCTTGATTTGCAAAAGCACTGTCTTGCAACCAAGTTCATTGATGATAAATTGCTTAGCACAATAGACAAAATCGATGGGCTAAGGCAGGTTGATTTTGTTTCCACACCAAAAAGCCAAAAAGTGTTGCTTTTGTTTCGACAAGTTTTGAAGTTTGTTGTGTCTTTACTTGTTGTAGGTTGTTTTATTGACAGATGGCATGGACACTCGGCCTTACAGGATTAATTGGCCTTCGTCAACAATAATATTTGATGTCTCTCCAGATATAACATTCAGAAGATCCATTCAAAGTCTTCAAGGTTTGTAATCTAATATTTGTGTGTGTAACCATTCGAAGATGTTAATATTATTTAAAACCGTTAAAGAGAATATGATTCGCCGTAGTGATTCTCTTGGTCGGTAAAAGTAGGAGCAACATTTGTATTATGGCTGATGCCATGTATCACAAGCTCTAATGGTGACTTGACTGAATTTTGTTTTACATAGAACCAAAGCTTCAATTTGTATATTGGTATTTGTTTGATAAGAAATAGATTGTGTCCTAAGGCCTTGTTTGGTTGGGGTGATTAGCCATTATTAACTAAATAATTGGATTTTGTTTGATGTTTGGTATCCCAATAACTTGGCGGGTCGACCCGCAAATATTATGTTATCATGGTTTATCTTGCCTTCTAAACATGTTTTCTATTGGATATTCTAAGGTCCAATACTACAGTTGCATCTAATCTAATTAGATTATTTAATCTTATCTTGGCAACCAAACGAGGCCTAACTGTATGTTTTGGGGGAAACAATTAGATGTAGGTGCTAAAATTCGAAGAAGCTGCTTGTTACTTCACGTACCATCTGAAACATCTGATATTGAGCAAGTCCTATGCAGTAAAGGGTATAATGGTGCCAGACCTAGTTTTTGGGTTTTCCAGGTGATTATATAACCTAATTTTTACGACTTAGGCGCTAAATCTGGAGTTCAACGCAAATTGTGATTTTTGTTACATTTATGTTGCAGGGACTTCCACTACATACTTTGGGTAATTTTAAAGATATTTTGAGACTTGCAAGTAATTTAGCCATGAAGGGATCTTTGTTCGTCGGAGAACTTCCTAGTTCGTTTTTCGAAACTGACAAGGTTAGTTTAGCAGCAGCAAGCTCTAATTGATGTTTCTCTCTATTACATAATAAATATGATATAGAGGAATGTTTGTTTGTTTGAATTAATGATACAGAGCACGAAAATGGAATGGATGGACAAGATTTTCACGAGCCACGGTCTAAAGGTGAAGATGATAGAGTATGATGAAGTTGCTAGAAACCTTGGGAAACAAGAATCAATACCCCATTGCCAAGAAAATGTACTTTTTGTTGCCGAGCAGCTGCAGTTTTCCGATGTACAGGTTAGGAATATTCGACTTTTCTTTTGTTTGATTTTCTTAGTCGAGAATAAGACGTTTAATTCCTTGCAGATGGAAATATGGAGGAGAGAGTTTGAGAGGATTGAAGAAGGAGATGAAGAAGGGTTTGAGGAGCTCTGATTTTTCTCCTAACTAAGTACCACACTTGATACTTCCATATTTTTGTTGTAAGCAATTAATATCTACAAAGATAATCTAGTACAAGTTTCATATATGCATACTAATTTTCTTTAATTTTAAAACTGTATATCTACGTGTAGATTCACTGATTAAATTGTTTTATCACCACAATAAGAGTACATTGATTTCTTCAACTTTAACCAGGTATTACATATTATTGAGTTAATTTTAGAAATTAGTACTTGCATATTTGAATTGGTGGTATGAATTTTTGACATATATATTTTAAAGACTAAAGGAGTTGCAATAACCAACAAAATAAAGAAGGCTCAAATCAATTAATTTGTTTGTGCCAAATTAAAACATTGTTCAATTTGTTTGCATAGAGATTGTACATCAACACCAGATTATTTTGTTATGTTGTTGATTTCTCACAAAATTAGTTTCATTCCATAATCTCAAAAAGCACAAGCAGAGGAAGCAACAACAATTTCTGAATGACTACTCTATAATAGAGTTATATAATAATAAGTAGAAACAAGAAAGAAAAGAGAAAAAAGAAAAAAAAAACAGAAAAACCCTGAGCTAATAAAGCTAAATAGAGGAAACATAATTATGGTCGAAATTAGAACAGTTCGGGCAAACATAAAAGTTAATAATGGGGAAATGAGCAGATGCAAAACCCACTGAAAATTCAAGATTTTCACCACTTGTCTTAACCTCCACAATGTTTAGCCATACAAAATACACTTTGACGCTCACCCCAGATAAATTAGTCAACTTGTCTTTATAGATGTACCCGCTGATTTCGGGTTTGTACTTCAATTCATACGAACCTTCTAAAGAGAAACTGCACGAACCGTTTAAATAGGCGTTGAATTTGCCGGAAGAAGTATCAAGATCGTAATGTGTTACCCCTTTTGGGAGAAGCCCTACTGGAAATCCGTACGATTCGATTGCTTCGTACGCCGTGGGAGCGGTGGTGGTAGTGGCCGTGGCGGAGAGAAAGAAAACAAATAAGATGAAGAAGGCGGTGGTGGTATTTCCGAAATTCCAAGCCATTCTTTGTGGTGCGTGCGGTGGGTTCTTGATTCAATTTTGTTTGTGTAATTTGGCAGTAGGTTAAATAATTTGTTTGTTTTTTTTTTGATAATTAAATAATTTGTTTGTTTGAGTTTAATAAACAAACGGCAACAATAGGTCGGTCGCTTGAATTTGAGACAATCTCAAACTTTGTAATCCTTATCCAAATATTTTCTTCTTCATATTCCTCCCGCTTTTGTTTTCTCCTCCTTTAAATCTTTTTTTTTTTTTTTTTCCCACCGTTCACAAACATATAACTTTGTACCATTTGATTTCTTCGAATGTAAAATATCAAAGAATTAAATACCATTCCAAGTTATGGGAAACGAATTAAAAATAAATAAGGATACTGTTCACAAATCTTCTCCTATTATATATTAAAATTTGAGAATGTTATTATCTCTGCTATTCATTTATGGTTTTATAGAACATAACAGCTTGAATCAGGAGAAAGAAAAGTTAGATAGAAGAAAGAAAAAAAGAGGAGTCCAATTATAAATTCCATGGAAGCGAAGCTATTAATAGGAAGATTATATTAGAGCACATACATACATACATACATACTTTGTCATATAACTAAAATTACATCCTAAATCATGGTTGTGTTTAGCACTACGACTTGAGATCGATCAGTAGTAATAAATTATCAGAAGGTAATTAAAGTAGTACGTACGTAATTAATCCATGGTTAATTTCAGTTGAAAATACGATGATACCCCAAAACAAGCAACTTGGGACGCTAATAATCTGAAAATAGTGGAGCAGAATTAATACATACTACTGAGTGAATATAATACACAGTCAAATCCACAACCACATTGCGGGCTCTCGTAAAAATTATCGACGGGGAAAGTGGCGGAAGCAATACCAACGGATAGATCTAGTTCATCATCATCCCTAGTGACCTCAATAATATTAACCCAGAACAAAAGAACCTTAACTTGAATA